TCTAAAGCAGAATCTTGTTATTTATTATAATAATGAAACCCATATGCAAAGTTGTTTGCTTACATGCTTTAGTTCTCTCAAACTCCTTCATAAGGAGAGTTCTGTTTTCTTTGTTTGCTCTTGCTTTGGATTTTTTGGGGAGTGAGAAAGAATAGTAGTTAGTTTTTCCATGTAGTTTCCTACAGTTTATATGATCATGTTCTGTAATGAGTTATAAACCTGAATACAAATAATAAATACCAATGTACAAAACACACAGGTTGCCACTTACGATGATTCAGAGGCAAAAATATTAAAAGGGAGACAAGTCTGAAGCATTCAAACTTTTACTTAGGATTTTGGGCATTATCTGTAATTACTGTGCTTGAGAATATCAGTTTAAAGCAGTGATGGTGAACCTTTGGCAAAATATGTAACATGGGAATCAACAGTCTGGAAATGGAAATATAATCACTACAGTTCTGGCTCCAGTTGCTGGGATTCATGAGGAATGCTGTGCTGGCAGCCACAGAAGTGAAGGACAGAAAAAAGGTGGAAGGAAGAGGGGAATTGTCATGTCACATCATCAGCAAGAGATAGCTCAGGCATTGAGGAATGAGGGAGGAACCAACATGGGTCATTTAAAGATTTTCCTACCTGAAGATCTGGTAAAAAACCGAAAATGTGCAGCTACTTATTGCAAATTAATTTTTGTTTGTTTCTCTTTTTAGGATAAAGACTTGAGGAGAGCTGAATACATGCTCCAGCAGGCAGATAAATTGGGCTGCAGGCAGTTTGTAACTCCAGCTGATGTGGTTGCAGGCAACCCTAAACTCAATTTAGCTTTTGTTGCAAATCTCTTTAACACCTATCCAGCCCTACACAAGCCTGACAGTTCATCTTACGATCTCAATTTATTAGAAGGTACTCAACTTACTAAGCATACAGAGGATAAGAATATTAGTGATTTATATTTAAGTATTCCTTCTAGGTTGTGATGTAGGATCCCTGTGTGATGGTGCCTGTCTTTCTCACTAGCAATCAATATAAACCTTAGAAGTGCCTGTTGCTGTGTATATTGTTCCCTTGTGTTAGCCTGACCAAGTGGTTATTCCTGAATAATCTTCTATAATTCATTTGCAGGAGCAAAAGCTACCTTCCTACTTTCCTTCCAGTTTCCTATGCTTCTTTCCATACTATTTATATATTAGCTGATGCACAAATTCTGGCTTTTCCTAATTTACAGTGCCATACTATGCAGTTTGTGGGAACAAGTTAAGCCAGCAGCACCTGCATTCAGTTAACCAGAATTCCCAGGACTTTTTGCAAACTCAATGTTTTGATTCACACACTTCTCAGCTCCAAGGCTGAAACGCTCCCTTTTGATTCTAATTAACTTTACGCAGGTGCTGCTGGCTTAACTTGTTCCCACAGCAACTATAATAGTCTTTAAAAGTATTTTTCCCATACTTCATTGATATATACTTGTGTTTGTTGCCTTATAAGGCAGGAAATTTCTTTTAAAAAAAGGCTTCTGTATCAGCAACCTATATTAATCTATTGCATCAACAGCCTGTATAGATCCTGTTGTATCAGGGAGTTTGGCCTTTAACTGTACAGTTCAGATCTCTAATGCTAGAGATAAAGGGATAATTGGTAACAGTCTCTGGCTGTTGCCCTTGCTGTGGACCAGCTAATCTAGGATAATGAAATGGCTCCTGCCAGTGTGTTTCACAGTTGTTCACTGATCTCAAAGGAATGTGAGAATCAGGGGTGCCGCACTCGGGAGAATCATCAGCAATGTTCACATATTCCTCTGCACTGCCTTCTCCTGCCTTCCTCTTACTGTTCCTATCAGGTTTCCTTTCCATCTAGGTGAGTCCATCTTCCTTTGCTCCTGTTTTTTCATAATTTGTCTGTGCTGCTGCATCCCTGTGTCACAAATCTTGTATCCCCCAGACCACTCCTGTGTCAGGCTTCCTGCTCTTCTCGCTTCAGCTGGGTGCCAGCTGTGATAGAGGTATCAGAGCACAGTCTTCCCTTTTCAGCTGTGATATCCCCAGTCACTGCAGTCCCTGCTGGCCAGGACAATGATTGAAGGAAAGGTCTGGTCTTCCTCTGCTGCAATTTTATTAGAAATGTATGCTCTTGCAAATTTATACAGGAGCTGCGTGGAGGTGGAATATGTTTAGTTCAGCTTCTGTGTTCTGAAGACAAAGTTGCTGATGTGATTCAAAATACTGAAAACTTGGTCAAATTTGGAAGTTGGCATGGCAAAAAAACAGCTGAACTAGTTTCTGGACTTTCCTGAAATATTTAGATGAGATCAAATCTCAGCTAAAAACAGTTGTAAAAACTTACAATCACTTGAATTCTAGACTACTATTTCATAATGGTAAATACTGGTCAAAATTAACTTACTATTTATAGTAGATATTTTAGAGATGGGTAATCATGCCAATGCTGTCTGTTCAAAGGCAAGTAGATGACTCTTCTTTGCCCTCAAATAACAATTCCCATGGTGTCATGTAGACCTAAACCATTAAAATAGTTATTTTAGCCAAAAGACAATGTTGTTAATGTTTTTTTCTGTTAATATGTTTTATTTTCTTTCCATAAAGTCCTGTGTTTTACTGTTATTTTCTCAAGGTAGTGATATAAAATATGACATTAATTTCTCTATAGTTTCATCATAGATTGTCTGTTGAAATCTGACTCATAATTTATAATGCTTTCCTGTTTTGCTTCATGAAATGCAGATTTGACCCCTCCTAATGTAGGTACTGTATTTAGTACTTTTCTGTACTCCATAAAAGTGTTTATTCTGCAATTTTTCTTCTTTTTTTTTTTTTTCCTAGTGTTTAATCATCTCTGTCCTTTTCTGGTTGATTTTTTGCATTGTTCTTACATGTTTCTATTGTTTTAATATGCCGTCATAAGTAAAAGAGAAGGAAAAAACCCCACAGGTGTGATGCACATAAAATGGGGGCAAGAGTTGCAGTAAGTCAAATACCATACAGTTATTTCAGTGGGTTTAGCCAGTAAGGGCTTTCCATGAACAAGATGTCAAGCTGTAGGCATGTGTGGGTGAGTAGAGCTTTCTGAAAGTCTTCATTTTCCTGCATAAATTCCATCTTTTCAGTGACTGCTCCACCCAAAGGGTATGATGTGGCAGTTCTCCTGAGTTTCAGATAATAAATTCTGGGCATAAACTGACATTTGCCCTGATAATACTAAACAAGCCTGGTGATGTGCACTTGTATAGAGAGAGTGTATCCCTCAGGAATACTGACACAACCAAATGAACACTTGACATTGTGTGGGGGTGGAGGGACAGCCCTGACTTCACTTAATGCACAACCTTTGCATGTTGCTCCTGTTCTGAGGAACCTCAGCACTCTGGAGATGAGGTCATACAGAAAGCTGAGCTCTTGGGGGGAGGAATAGGAGGGACCTGTGTCCACCCCACTCACCTTTCCTCCAGTGTTGATGTCCTCTGGTGTTGCTTAGATTACTGCAGCCTTCATGGCTGTTATTGTGAATTACTCCCACTCAGGCTGGCTGAATTTAGAGTGCAGTTGCATCTTGAGCTCTGTTGTCTTCAGAGAGAATCTTAGGTATTTGGAGCTCTTTGGATTCTTGACCCCTGTGCTATGGCTACTCCCCACTCAGTTCCACGGTATAGTGATCTCAAAGAAAGAGATGGCAATAAATATAAAGGATACTACCAAATTTGCTCCTCTCTCTTTTGTGTAGCTCTGCCCCCTTTCTGCAGTTTTCCAATGATTTTGGCTATCTGCTGCACCACTCAGCAGAAGATATGCTCCTGATAGGATCACAAGGTATATTTTGAATAAAAGAATAGAGAGAAAAAATTGATCAGTTCTCAGCCATCTGGAAAACTTACAAACGCTTATGTGTTGCATGATAAAGGGATTTGTTTAGAGTGGCATATTAAATATAGTATGCTGGGTTTAGTTCCTGGATTCCCACTATCCAAAAGGGTCCACCCCAACTTGCATGCTCTTGCCTGCTTGGCTACTTTGGATTCTTTCAACAATGTTAAGCATGCCTTTTAAAACTCTCACTCTGAGTGCAGTTGCTGAGTATGTGTTTTTGTAGCTACACTGTTTAGTAAGAGTTCATTAAATAACTCTGGTACTGTCCTTGCAATGGACAAGTGTTCCTAAAAGCACTTTGCAGTCAGTACTTTAGGTACTGCTGCAAATGAACTCAAAGCTCAGTAACCCTAAACACTTTTAAAAATAAAGCAAAAGGTACTTGCTTCAAAATACTATAACCTCTAAAGATACTCTTTATAAACTTAAATTATATCTCATTCTTGAGTTGTGATGGGGTTTTTTTTTAAATGGGAAACTTATATTTTTAAAAACTTTGTCACAAAATGTGATTCTTCTTTTAAATTTTAATGTGGGAAGAAATATGAGAAACAAAGCTGACTGATGACCTTGCAAAATAGTGTTTTTCCTTGTTTCAGCATATATTCATCAGTAACTCTTTAGTTGTTTTTACAAGTAAATATTTGAAACAAACACTAGTTCAAATTGCATATGAAAAAACTCATAATTTAGAAAATGTGTCAGTAGGATGAATATAAACTATTTCATAATTACAGGAGAGTAACTGGTAAGCTGGCTGAAACTTTTTAAATAACATTTATTCTGTTAGAAATTGTGAACTACAGCTGAAATTTCTGAAGTCCAGAGCTTTTTGTATAAAAGGGTAAGAGACCTAGATTCAAATTGTAACCTTGATCTAAAAATCAATGTTATGACAATATTATGCATGTAAAAATAATATTACAGAGGTTTTCTTTCTAGTCTAAACATAAATACATGTTTAGGCAGTAGTTTCATTTTGGAAAAACATTCATTATTGTGTAGTCAGCCTCGAACTGCAGTACTCAATGGGACAGTTGTCATGCTATATAAACCTCATCAGACAAACTTGGTATCGTTACCCTCTAAGTAGCAAATGAGAACAGCAAAGAAAAATCTTACTTAGGTATTTGTGCTTCAGTCCAGAGAAATCTGTTCTTTCATTGTTTGGGGAGGTTTTCTCCCTCCTCAGTGTTCTCTCTATTTTCTTAACTGTGGGAATGAAGTGATGAGGTTATTCCAAACTCACATATTCAGGCAAAATATTTTCTTAAGTGTGCTTCTTTGCTGTAAGAGAAAACGCTTATGCAGCACTGATTCACAGGCAGTTGGCCACAATTACATTGTTAAAATTTAGGTAGTGTTTATGTAGAAAGTCAATGTACTATTACAAGCTGTAACTTTATAGAGAAAGAGAGTTGGTTTAGGACTCATGGTGGCAATGGATAAAAGCAATGTAAGTCAGGAAAGTGAAGGTTGGGTTTTACTTTTCTGCAGTTCTCATAAGCAGAATTGCTGGTTAAAACTGAGGATAACTGGCCCCCTTGGCAGCTTCACAAATGTAACCAACACATCACTGCCTTGCTAAGACTCCAGTGCTAAAAACTAAAAAAGTGAATTCTGTTGCTTTTGGGAGGCCCTTCACAAATTAACCCTGGCAGCTTCTGTGTGGAGAGAGTCGAGCTGTAGTGTCTGCAGCTTGGAGCAGTTGCAATATGTGTGTTAGTACTAACTTTTAATAAAAAGATGCCATTTCAAATAGATTTAAGCATACTGTTGAATGCAATTGTCACTCATTTTAGTTTTAGGCAATTATTATTAATCATCACTATTTTCTTCATGATATATTAATTACATAAAATATAACAAAAGAAGTCTATTTTATTTCATCAAATTGTATTTACTCAGAAAAATGTAGCCTATCAGTACTCCCTCTAGTGCCTCTGTCCCTGTGGCCAGAATTGAGTCTGAATTGGACATTATTGTCTCATGTATTACCCAGTATAGACACTGTTAGGGAAAGTATGAACTCATTTTAGGGAGGGAAGGGGGTATGAGGAGTATGAGAACCATTTAAAGATTGCTTATTAAAGTGTTTTCTCTAATAATTTATTGAGAATTGTATTTGTCACCATAGGAGAAAGTAAAGAAGAAAGGACTTTCAGAAACTGGATGAATTCACTGGGTGTAAGCCCATATGTTAACCATTTATACAGGTAAGGGTTTTTCAAACAGTTATTGGACTTCCCTTGGATGACAGGGCAAGAAACAAGGGAAGAAGAGAGGGAAGTTGTATTTCTACTAGAACAGTGATTTCCAGGTTTCCAAACAATGTGATAGGAACTTCAAAACTGGTCTGTAGAACCACATTAAGTAGTATCATACTCAAATAGTCTAGCCATCATCTAGAAATACTAGAAAACCTGAGAAGGTTTTAATGTTTTCCTGTCACTCAGTTGTGCTTTGAGTTACATTTTTTTAAGAGTTGAGATAATTGTGTTTTTTGATGCATGGGGTTTTTTCTCAGCAGACTGTAAGGAGCTGTGCAGAGTGGGGTATTCCCTCAAAGGAAGGGCTTTATAACATGCTTTTTAGATGCTTCTGGTCGCTTTCAAATTGTGCCAGCAGTTGATTCAAATCTTGTCAATAAAAGATGAGACAGAGAGAGAAACTAGGAGCATCTGCTTCCATGTGTATTTGCTGTTAGGTTTCATTGTGTCTGTTTTCTGACCTCTGTAAAGCGATCTGTAGGTAGCTTAATGTGGAGAATTTCATTCAGTAAGTAGCTCAAGGGGATTAACAGGAATGCAATATATAATGGGAAAATAATACTTTTACTACTATTCTTTTTTGCACAAGATAAGTACCTTGGTTTTGATTATTCTTTAGCAAAATACATCTGTAGGTGCAGATAAAGTATCAGTATTTAACATTTGGAAAAGTCCCGAAGAAACTAAAACTAGATCAATAAATTAAAACTCTTTAGCAGCTATTTTGTCTATGCTCACTCTGTGAAAGCAATTAAATAATAGAAGTTTGTAGAGCCTATAGGTGAGCTTACCTCACTAAGACTTGTGAAACTAATGAAATTAAATGCAGAATTTGATCCATATAATTGCTGAAATCAAGCAATAGAATATAGGCCAGTTTCTCTACAGAGTGACACACATTTTTATTTAAATGTCTGGAATTTTTCAGCGACTTAATTACACTTTGAGGAGTCTCAAGTACTTACTTTCATTGTCAATATGAGCTTTTGTGCTTAGAACGTTGTTTTCCTCTGGTTTAGTGACCTTTCTGATGCTTTAATCATCTTCCAATTGTATGATATGACTCGTGTGCCGGTTGACTGGAACCATGTCAACAAACCTCCTTACTCACTGCTCGGTGGGAATATGAAAAAGGTGGGTAGATGCTCTGGAACACAGCCCAGCTTCACTGTCTCCTTTCTGCTGATTGTGTTGTCTGGATTTGTGTGCTACTGACACAGTCCTGGGGGGAGAAGAAGAAGAAAGCATATCTTCCAGATATTATCACAAGGAATAAATAGTAGTTATAGCATATATCACTTTATAAATGTGGACACCTTTTGGCAATATGTATTTTATGGTCTGGTTTGGATATATAAGTGAAAGTTTCAGGTCTGACACAGCTATCACAGCTTGGTGCTCTTATCCTGTGAGGTGTTTCCTCACAGCTGCCCAGAGGATTTGTGCAGGACTTGCAGAATCCAAGTTTTCCATTAGTTTTGTGACTGTAGAGGATAAAAATTACTGTATGTTTAAGAAGAACACATTTAAATATATTTCTAAGTATAGTTTTGATATAGGTATATTTTAATTTGCTGCCCTAGTGAAAGTGAACTTGTTTTTTTCAAATGTGGGAAAAATATAATCATTTGAATATTACACACTTGCATTTATAGTAAAAACTGTATTATTTTAATCACAGTGGAGGTAGAGTAGAAATCCTTCTCCAGCTTCAAATCTCACCATAGGTAACAGTAAGCCAAAGTTATTCAAAATACACATAGATTATAGGTCTGTATTGCAGTAATATTAAGGTGTTTTCATTATTTGCACACAAAATTTATTTTTAGATTGAGAATTGCAATTATGCAGTGGAACTTGGGAAGGCAAAAGCCAAATTCTCACTGGTTGGTATTGCTGGACACGATCTAAATGAGGGTAATCCAACTCTGACTTTGGCTTTGGTATGGCAGCTGATGAGAAGGTAAGCTGGGCATAATATATGATAAATGTGTATATGTGTGTCTGTGCATGCCTGTATGTGTCTTGTATATCAAGGCAAATTAAGGCCAGTGGTCAGTTCACCCAACGGGTATTTTAGAGAGCAATCTCTAAATATCCCTCTTCTCAAAGATAAACTTTTATATGTGTTTTTTAATTTTCCATACTGTGTAGTGACTGAAAAACATTTAATAGCAACTCTTAAAACCTTATAAACTAGAAACTGGGATTAAAATTATAAATCCTACAGCAAAGTAAAAAGAGCTCAGATTATTTCATGTTGATTCCATGTATCTTTCTGTAAGTAGAGAGTAATTTAAATATTTGTAAAACCCAAGAGAGAGATAATATATACTATAGAAGTTAAAAGGGTAAAAACAATTGTAGGTCATCACAGCTATAACAACATAACTGTCATAAAATCAAAATCTTGCTAGTGTACTGAAGAAAAAAAAATTATGAAGTGATTTCAATAAAGTTTTTTATTGCAAATGTTTTCCACAAGACAGTTTTCTTAGACTGATTGCAAAACACTTAATACATTTTTTCCTCAGACTATTGTGATTCAGTTTTCAAGGTGACTAGGATGGTAGGGAGCCATTTAAAATCATAAGGTAAAATTAATTATGGTGTGCTGAGTTAAATACATGAAGAAGATGTTACAGTGAATATTATGAGGTTTGGGATACTATTTTTTCTTGCAACCACTGAAAAAGTGATTTAAACTACTAAATAGTTTATAAGGTAAGGGTACCTTATGAAGAGAAGTACTTGGCATTGTTACTGTGATGAAGTAATATTTTACTTTTGCTTGTAGCTTTGTACTGTTTGAAGAGTTGAGTTCTACTACTCATTTTAACCTGGGCTCTTGTATTCTTTACTGAAGGTATACTTTGAATGTACTATCAGACCTGGGAGAGGGGGAAAAAGTAAATGATGAAATTATTATTAAGTGGGTGAATCAGACACTTGCAAAAGCAGATAAGAAAGCTTCAATTACAAGTTTTAAGGTAATCAAATTTATTTACTTTTCTTTCCATATACAATCACACCTCAGATTTTTAACCTGGTATGTTAACAGTTTGGCTTTAACAGTGGCTCTCCCATCAGCTATCATAATTCTTTAAGGAAGTATTTCTGACAGTTTGTGAATCCTCAAAAGTATTTTACAAATTTGTTAATAAGAAAAAGAAATTTAATAGCTGGAGTAAGATAGAAAACAAAAACCCCAACAACAAAAAAAAAAAAAGAAAAGAAAGAAAAAGAAGTTTAAGCGTTCAAAGGGACTTCTTCTTCATGAAGTTACCAATGTTTGGGCATGGCATGTCGTGTATCTTTCAAATTTTTAGATATAGGCACATGCTTGTACAGGCATGAAGAACAATTTTGGAAATGCTGGGGGCGGCTCACCAGTTCTACTGACAGCTGGTTAAAAAGGTGTTCTCAGAGTGACAGAGCCAGGAGAGGGAGCCCAAGGTAACCAGCGACATCTTGTGTCTTCCTCGGCACCGCCGACGTGCAGCAGGCCTGTGTCAACCAGGAGCTGTTCCCATGCAGCAAATGGGAACAAACTGATAAAGGAAGCTTTCCTTCCACATTATTGAAGTGCTAAACGCAAAGGAAGCCATGTGTGTGCCAGGTGTGTTATGGTGTGTGAATCTCTAGAAATGGCACATTAATAATGGCACTTGAATGCAAATGTAATATTCTTATACAGGTTCATTGTATAATCAGCAGCACTTATGTCTGTGATTCACAACAGGAACATAAGTTAAATATTTGAGAACTCACTGTGGTATGAATTTTAATTAGGTAAGCAATATTAGGTAACAGGTAATATTTTGTAGAGCAAAATATTCCATTTTCACTCTAGGAGGTAACTTAGGTCTTTTCCTAAGAGAGATTGCTGCTTCTCTTATTTCTGCCTAAATTGTAATAATGTTGCTATTAAATAAATGAAAGTCTGAAGGGAACCTGTCCCAATATCTTGCTTTTGGTATGCCTGTGTTTTTGGCAGGACATTGCTTGTTTTTAAGGTCATTCAGCTGGTGTTTTTAAGATAATTCAACTGATGCTTGACCAATAAAGATAAGGAGGTACTGATGTTAAGTGACATTATTCAATATTCCTTTTTTTTACTACTATTTTTTTTACAATATTCACATATATATTGTCTATCACTCTTTGGATTTTGGCATTACTATGGCAAACAGATAGTAGAGAATGCAGAAATGCCTGATATTTTACTGTGGACTATGAAAGCCAAGTGCTATTGAATTGCCATTAGTTCAAACACTAAAAATGACAAAGGTGTGTCCTATGGTCTTGGGCATATAGTCCATGCATTTAATGTCTTCAAGTAGAATTATATTAGTATTTTTATATGTATAATTAATATGATGGCTCTGTGGGACTTCATTGAATTGGGAATCATAGCTCTGACCTCGTGACAGCAGCTGTGTTGCGTGGCCTGTGCTCGGCTGCTGCTGTCTGCTCTTGGTTTGGCATCAGCAGCTCCTTCTCTGCCCAAACAGTTGGGAAGGAATAATTGCAGCAACAGCACTTGCTCTTTTAAGAATGTCTGTGTATTAAATACGAAACACAGACTGCTCCTAGTAGCTCAGAATACCATCTGAGTTGAGAAATTATAAAAAGGAGCCATAAACTACTGCAGAAAACAGTTCCATGGCAAGAAAAGGAGAAAAACCAAAACTACTGGGGAATGTAAATATCTTGATGTTGTCTTGAAAGTCTGGTCCTTGGACTTCTATCAAAATTCCCTTCCTTCCTTAGGGAAGGGGGGAAGTTTCATCAAATAAATTTAAACCATTGGTGTAATAATCAGCACAGTGAACCTTATAATTCTGATTGCAGAAAAGAACAGTAGATCTCATAAAGGGTGAGGAAAACCTTCACATTATAAAGTAACAAAACAGTATGTATGCAAGATGTGCTGTAGAGTTTTTTGCATTGTGAAGATGGAATAATCAAAGCAAATTCCTTAAACTAATCTTTTGAGTCTTTTTCTTTTAGGACAAATCAATTAGCACTAGTTTACCTGTCCTAGATTTAATAGATGCCATTGCACCAAAAGCAGTTCGTCCAGAAATGGTCAAGAGGGAAGACCTTTCTTACCAAGACAAATTGAATAATGCCAAGTAAGTTTTAAATGAATGCACTGTATTTTCCTGAAATGCGGGAAATGCATGAATTCATGGTGTAATTAACGATTTACTGATTTGTTAACAGAGAGAGATTACACTAATGTTAATTGATTTGTTTCAAATGGAATCTATTATAAATTCTAACATTACTGAGTTATTTTTCTAGAGTATCTAAAATATGAACTCAAATTCACAGGTGATATAACCTCCCACCACTGCACTGCAATTGGTTTCCGAATAGCCTGCCATAACCCATATTGTTTTTGACAAAAATAAATGCTTTGATAGCCAGTAGGAAAACATCTGCCGGTAGAATTGCTAATACATGCTTTCTTCACAATAATATCCATTTTCTAGTACAGCCTAAGTACTGACTGAACAGATGTATCCCACTATTAAAATCTCGTTTTGTTGTTGTGGACCGTGACACATTAGAGATGCCAGACAAATGACAGTCTTTGTTTTCTCTCATTTTCAAGGTATGCCATTTCGGTTGCTCGAAAAATTGGTGCTCGTATTTATGCTCTCCCAGATGATCTGGTTGAAGTGAAGCCAAAAATGGTGATGACAGTGTTTGCGTGTTTGATGGGAAGAGGACTGAACAAAATAAAATAATGAAGATATGTAATATAACTTTCTGCCACGTTAAACATGATGAATGCCTCGCAGTTTACAGAGTTCTGAAGCTTAGTATGAAATGAGAAAAAGTGTATGCACAAATATACTCATCAATTACCTTTTAATAATGTGTTTATATTAGTTAATTTTATTCCATTTCATAACACATGGATTATTTATGGCTAATACTGTTTTCAGAACCCATTCATTACCAAATTAACATCATAGATTTGTATTGCTTGGAAAAAAACCCACCATATTAATCAAGCTTCATTTGTATTAGTTTTCATAGCACTGTAAGAACCTGCATCGTTTTACATATGTTATTTCAGGACCAATTGCGAAACATTGTTTGATTTTTGTGGGTGTTACTTACATGTAGTCATACACGTCTCAAGGTGCATTCCAATCCTGTCCTATTACTCCAAACTGCACAGAAGTTATCATCCTTGCCTTATTCTTGGAGAGCTTCACTCCTGTTGGAGACAATGAGAGTCTTGTCATTGACTTCAGGGAGAGCAAGTGAAGGCCTATGATAATGTCTGAAAACTAATGAATATTGATTAAGCTGATGAAACGTTTTTTGTGGGAATAATCTTTAAAAAAATGTAGTAGTTTTGTTCTGTGGGAACTCTTACAGTCTGTGTCATATGAAAAAACCAGCAATAGAAGGCAGAAATGTCATGTCATCATTAGGTCTCCATATGTATTAAGTTTTGCAGTTGGACTGAACATCTCTTGGTTGGTTTTTTTTAATTTTTCATAAAATATTGTATCAAGAAAACAATAAAGAGCTGGCTAGTCCAGTTTGGGGCTTCATGTTACTGTATTGCATTTCCTTACAGGTCACTCCTTTGATTTTCCTAAATTGTATATCTTGGGTGCAAAGGTTTTGTGCAGAAAGACTGGTGCATTGTCTGGATGAGATGAAGTCCATAATTATTTTCTTAGTAGTTTTAAAATATGTATTTGTACTCCTTTCTCTGCAGCTGTAAATCTTCACTTGCTGGAGCTGGACAGTTAATAAAGTTGTTACCAGGAGCCAAACAATAAGACAACTAAATTAAAATGACAGCAATTTTTTTAACGTATGAAGCTGCTACTTTCTCTCAGCTCCTGAAACCAGTTCAAAGTGTGGCAAACCCCAAGAATCATGATGAGTGAACAATTGTACTAAGCTTTACATCTTCAGTATCTTGCACACAACTTATCAACAGTAAGAGATCCATCCATTCAGTTTCTATTATATAAGAGGATAAACGGTAGTTGAGAGAATTAAATGCTTGGATTTAGATCCAAGCAGCTGGGATAAAAGAGATTCAGGAAGGACACTGAGTGCTGGAGTGGGCCCAGAGAAGGACCATGTAGTTGGTGAAGGGTCTGGAGCACAAGTCTGGTGAGGAGGCTGAGGGAGCTGGGGGTGTTTAGGTGGAAGGAGGCTCAGAGGTGACTTTATTGCTCTGTACAGCTCCAAAAAGCAGGCAAGTGGGGCCGGCCTCTTCTCCCAGGCAACAGCAACAGGACAAGAGGACATTGTCTCAAGCTGCACTAGGGGAGGCTTGGACTGGACATGAAGAAGAATTTGTTCACAGAAAGGGTGATCAGACACCGGAATGAGCTGCCCAGGGAGGTGGTGGGGTCACTGTCCCTGGAGGTATTTAAAGAGTGGAAGAGGCACTCCGTGCCATGCTCTGATTGGCACGGTGGTGTTGGGTCATAAGTTGGACTAGATGATTTCAGAGGTCTTTTCCAACCTAACCGATTGTGTGATTCTCTAAGGGAAAACGCAGAACTGAGAGTGGTCAGGTGGGGGGCGCGGTGTGTGCGCCCCGTGCCTCACCGTGCTCCCTTCGCAGGCAGCCTGCGGGGAGC